CATCCATCAAAGGGGAACAAAAGGCTTTTCTCAGACTAAATTGGGCCAAGCTGGAAACTTCTTCTTGGTCCTCTCGAGCCAAGATCACATTTGTTTTCTATGGAAGGTTATCCTCAAATGTCCATTCCCACTCATTCATAACTCTGCAGGCATTTGTAGCTAAAAATTTTTTGATTATGTTATTTCCCAATTATTTAGGGATGCTACGTTATGTATCCATCACACAGTACACTAACTGCAAGAGTTCGTAGGAAGTTGCGCGCTCGACCATCTTTGGTTAATAAGCATAACTCGTTCCGACCTACCAATCATCGTTCATAAAAGTGAAACAAAACTCATGCTTCCAATCCTTTACTTTGTTCTCCAGGCCATGGAAGCAACCCCCTTTATTTTCCAACACATCTACACAAACTCATCGACATTAGCATACAAGGGAAATAGAATGTTGAACAACAAAATGGATCAGAGGATCTTTACCAACCACATATTTAGGACCACCATCATGTTGATTGCGACTAAATTAGGCATTAGTTGAGCTAGAATTACCCTAAAGAAATTAAATATTTAGACCAACTTCACACATAATGGTAACTTGAGGCCAAGTTAGAACCGATACTTGTAGAAGGCTAGCTCCCTCACAAAAAAGGTGTTGGATCACTCGTCTTTCTTGTCGATCAGTAGAAGAACGAATGAAGTGTACACACTTGATAAATAATACTAATCCACTTGCACAACATCCATTTGGGGAGGCTAGAAGCTTTTCCTTGACAAACATCATAAGGGTGTGATGGACAAGGAGGCACGACTTGAGGAAGCATGAGTAGTTGGGAGGAAGGAGATGCTCAAGCGGAAGAAAGCATAGTGGGCTAAAAGCAAGAGAGAGAACAATCAATAGAAATAATAAATGATTAAAACCATCATGATCAAAACATCTAATTTTATTGGGGATAAATAGTGTTAACTACCCAAAAAATTCACTGGTGTAAAAGGGATAATGTACATGTAACTTAAATCTTGGGAGTATAATCGGTGTCATGTCACAAATCAAAGGCACAGAAGCTGAAGCATCAAATTTATTAATTAAAAAAACTTCTTATTACATAAGGTTATTACAACAACTGGAAGAAAAAAAAATGTTATACAAGGACTCGATACAACCTAAGCTGAGAGGTAACCCAGTCGGATGAGGCTCCTCAATACAAACTCTCCCTCGGAGCTAAATTGCCCTAGATGACCTATGTTGGCCTAGGCCTGAAGAATTGATGTAAATCAAATTTGACATATTTTTTTATCATAAATTCTATGTTTTATCACCTTTTTATGTTAATTTTAAGCTTTTGGAAGGTGTTATTGCTATATTTTATAAATTACAGGTGTTAAGTACACTTTGGGCAGCCAATTTATGAAGTTTGACTAAGAAAGAGGACCAGTGTACCTATGTTACCCTGGTGAAATTACGCTATTGTCTCTATCTGAAGGAGCGTCAGAATGAATGAAGCAACAACAAAGGCAGTGAAATTGTGTCATACTGTAGTGTACCTATTTTAGAGTGGGTGTATCTACGACAAGGTTGGAGTCTTTATGCCAGTCTCTGTAAAAGAACAATTATGGTAGGATTTTTTAAACGGTTTGTGCTATGACTATATACAAAGACTCATGGGACAAATAAGGGAAACAGTTGGCTTTTTTGAGGCTCACTCTTCTTAACATTTTAGAGAGTTTTCTCCATTGGTTTCCATTGGAGAAGATTTCTTGGATTATTTTTTTTGAGTTTTTGTAGAATTATAAGAGAGAGATTTGTTTGCACTTGTACGAGGGAGATCAGTGTAGTGCTTGCATTTACAGAGAGGATTGCAAAGTATGATAAAGAGAGTGGCTTGAGTTTGAGTTTCTATGTTGTTTATGTTGTTTTCTTTTATACTTTCAATGAAGATTTTCATGTTTTTTTATTAATTAATAGCAACTAAATCTTCTTCATACTTTGATGTAAGACATGTGATTTCTTTATTTTTTTATCCTCGAGTTTTTCCCTAAACTTTTTTTAAGTGTCTGAATTTTGATATGTTAATTTGTTAGCCTTTCGATCTTTATCTTTTTCTAATATGACTAATTAAATTGTTCAAACCCCTTATGATCTAAGACTTCTAACTACTAACTAGAAGAAAAAGTAGGTTAATGCATATTCACCTTGTCGAATAGACATTTTGCTAGTAGGAGAGTACATCCTAAATATAGGACTAGAGTATTCTTTGGAAATCTTGCATGGTTAAGCCTCTTAACTGTAATATGAGTTTCTAATGTTTTTTATGACTTAGACATAGGCTAAGGAGGACTTGTCCATGGCTGTCAACAGTAACGTGGAGAACTCGAAGAAAAAATATTGAGGAACCACTAATCGGTGTCATAGAACTATGAATCATTCACCTTTGAATGCTTCAAACCTTAGTACTATTTTTTAATTCCTGCATTATAAATTTTAAACCCTTTTAACTTTATGAATACTTCAAACTAAGCTTAATGGTTTAGTAAAATTGAACTTCACTTGTTAGAAAAAATTGATAAATTTGCTTTTGGGATCAATACATGGACTCTTAATTTCATATATTACTTGATCAACACATATATATTCGTGTTTGTCAACTGCCTTACATCAGTTTCAAGCAATAAGGATCAAGTACTTATTTCACAGGTTCATGAGCTCACGCTGCAAAGAGGCCTTTGATTGTCTCTACAACTCAATCATGTGTTCCGCGCTCACTACAAGGAGGTTGCCACCTAGAAAGTCTGACGTCTCATGGTTTGCCTCGAGTCGACTGCTTCACCCATCTCCCATTTTGTGACACCTCTGATGGAGGTTCGGTTGTGCCTAGCTTCGCACTCGGAGCATCCAATACCTCCACTTATCAGCTCTTCATCACTCAGGAGCATACCTGGAAACTCATTCGAATTCAAGGATGACAAGGTCGTTCGAGCCATTTCCCGTGAGAATAAAAATGAGTGACTCTCAACATATAATAACAAATCATCACGAATAAATGGTGTCCCTATCCAATGTCCGCAGGCGATTAAATATATTTGATAAGGAGTAGATGAGTCATAGCCTTGAGTTGCCTGAATGATCGGCTGAGGTGCTTCATAGTAAGTTGGCTCACCCGACGAACATCTTATCATAAGAATGATAGCAACAAAATCTGATTAAGGGATTAAGCTGCCCCCTTCTACAACGACGGTGATGAACGCTTCGAAAACACTAGGGATGTCTTTTGAAAATTACATAGGGAGATCTTGATCGGTTAACCAATATTTCAAAATTTCCAGGCGCATGCGCATGGGTGTTGCCCTTCGAGCCTGAACAACAAGATCCTTGTTGATCCATCAACAAAATATTATGTTTGCAATTTAAACCACTACCTCGTGCACACGTACCAAAATAGGGCATTTAGGAGGATTTTATTTGGGACATTAGCTTGGTTCGCTGTAAGCTACTCCCCTTGCCAAAATTTATGACAATAAGAGCTAAATCTGGAGAAAGAACTAAGAGCTCAATGAAATTCATTGGAAGTCTTATCAAACTATTTATAAAAGTGTTAGATTTAGAACTAAAGGGAGTATTTAACACTTTAAACATTTATTACAGATATAGATGTAATTATTAAATCTATTAATTCTCTCGGTCTTATTATTGTACGACCTTTTAAAATTTAAGAGAATCAATGAATTAAATATGTACATACGAAAAAGTAAGCTTCTCAAACAATCATGAAACTAACAACCCCAACCAAATAAAGGTGCGCTACCGGATGACATATTCAACGGCTAGAGGGTCTTCATAAGCAATTACTAGATGATAGCCAAGTGACAAGGAGCCACGAAAGCGTGGTGGGTCGCTGACACATGAGGTCGATTGATCTAGGGCTGAGTGAACCACCAAAGTCGAGCGAACCACCAAGGTCAAGCAAAACATCAAAACCAAATGACTACAACCAAAGATGATTGACGTAGGATGCACCTGAACCAAGACTCGTGACCGGACAATTCAAAACTAGGTACAAATAACTTGAGAGATCAGGATCACACTCAGAATAGAGGCAGAAGCAGATCCAAGGCTTCGCAAATACATTGTTTCACATGTGTGAGTATTTTAACTAAAATTGCATATGATTTAACCTGACACCTCTTCGCAGGATTTCTTTATTTTAAATCATACAACGACCTTATCATGATAGTAAATTCCTAAAAATAAGAAGCTTTATATAGGAGAAGATTCTTTTTTTTCCTCCATTGAGGAACCTTTGTTAACTCTCTGGAATTCCGTCATTTCTCTCAAAGGGTACCCTTACTTTCCGCTTTTTGGGTGTTCTATTCCTCGAAAGTGATTCAAGGATAGAAATGGCCTCAACATATATATTTCTATATCTAACACCTAAACTTTAATATTTACTTTTGAAACACTTTTGTCACATAAAGTTGTCATGCATGAAAATGTATATTTTATTTTAATAAGTCAAAAAGAATACTTCTGATGTGATTTTAAAAATTTAAGTGCTATTCATACAAATATGTAAGTTTAGATCTTACATATACAAATGTATAAGAATTGCGTGGTATGTATGTTCGAACGCAGGTTAAAAAACTGAACCGTCACAATCCTCTAGATTTGATTTGTCGGCATTCACAGAAAAATAAAGTTGCCATCATCAGTTCGCTTAGCATTTTTGTTGCACAAATCCAGACGGAAATAATAAGTCCCATTGTTTTCTCAATAATCTACATAGCTAACAAATTAAAATAAGCCATGCATTACAAGCATTAACGATCAAATTAAAAAAAAAAACCTTTGTTTTAAAAGCTGTTCAACTAATCCTAATGATGATTGCAAAACAAAAAGGTTGCTAATAATAGTTTGCACCCACAGATCCATCAAGTACCTTAACATTCAAGCAAACATGGTAATGATGCTTTTATTGCATGCAAGCTACCATGCCACAATGTTTCTTCATAGTTATAATTCCGAAGGCAGTGATGTGTACATTTTACAAATAACCGTACAAAGAAGCTCCGTCGAAAGAAAATGCACAAAGCACAAAATTGCACAAAGCACAGAAGTCGCTTCAAGTAATTCCTTTTCTCTGTATTAAATCGAAGAATGCTTTTCACAAAAACACCAGAAGCAACTCAATAGCAAACTTGCTAGTTTGCACAGAACAGTTAAAAATAAATAAAAATTAAAAACAAAAATCTCACAAGTTGGCGTGGCGAGGACCAAAGCACAAAGACATCTTAAATAACTCTCTGTCAGCAGTGAAGGCCTTTGGCCTTAATCAAAATTTCCTTCTTCACCAAAAAGGTTGCTCCGATGAAGCGAAGAGTATCAACATGAATTGATACCGTGAACTATATTTACAGCTATTTTCTTCAGTCAGAGTGCAGGAAACTTTCAAACTCGGTTCCATTAAGGGATCTGAAAACTTCGTCCCAGTTCTCAATCTGATCCCACAATGGCCTTGTGTGGATCTTGACATGACGGCTCTTTAGCTCTCTATGTGGCATTCTCAGAAAATCAAGAACATTCCATCACTTTCTGCAGGGAAACCGCAGGGAAACCAAAAAAAAAAATGATGCATTCTGTAATTTTGAACATCCAAAACCATCACAAAACAGCTCAGAAGGTCTTAAGCCGAAATACCGTTCGATTACGAACAATATCCTCGTAATATAGGACGATGTGATGGGTGTCATTGAAGAACTGGACTGCATCTGCTGTCCAATTAATAGTATGTTTAATGTTCAGGAAAAGCTTTGTGACATCAATGTTGGGCTTATATCTAGCAAGGACATCAGCCTGAATTGAATTAAGTAAACAGAATAAGGAGATCAGCTGCTTGGCATCTCCAATGAGAAAAAATGTTTAAGGAAATTTACTTACATAGCTCACAATTCTATTGTAAACAGAATAAGGAGATCAGCTGCTTGGCATCTCCAACGAGAAAAAATGTTTAAGGAAATTTACTAACATAGCTCACAATTCTATCTATTGTATTTACATATATCACACCTAAAATTTCATATTTACATACATAGCACTTTAGAGCTTTAAACCTATGCATGAAAAGGTAAATTTCACTTTTGATATTAAACATTTGAGTGCTATGTGTGTAAAAATGATAGTCTAAGTGTGAAATTCATAAATACATGAGAATTGAAAAGAGCTATGTATGGAAATTCCTGGAAAGGTTATTGGGAAGAAGCTAGGAATCAGACCTCATGCCTCGAATGCACGTGAGCTTTATGAGTTCCGTTCAGCTGTTTGGCATCTCGATCGTGAGAATTTGCGAGAACCGAGATCCATCGACGAAGGAGATTTCTTCTGAAGAGGAAAATAGGAGTAACGCCTCTCTCCTTGAAGTAGTTAACTATGCCTTCATGGTTCTGCATGAGACCCTATAATCATAACGATAAAAAAATTTATTCAGTCATGAATAATAACTGGTATTTGTAAGAAAATAGGCGAAATCTGATTCAACTACCAATAACCAAAAAGGAGCATATTTTATTATAGTTTGATTGTGAAGAATTATAGCGCTAATTTCTTTGAAACTATATAAAGATCATGCTCCCCTATTTATAAAGAAAAATTAGAGCAGCTCAATCTTAAGTGTAGCAAATATCATCTTAAAGGCAAGCAAATTTACTAGTGTGTAAATTTTTTATAACAAGTAGAAGGATTGATAATTTTTGCATACTTAATATATTATTCAATATTGGAGGAATTGCGGTTGGAAAACTCCAATCTCAAAACAAAATTGAAATGCCAAGTATGTCATCAAGTTTTAACAAAATTGCCCCATTAATTTTTAAATTGGGAGAAATCACAGTTTTGGCAATCAGTAAAAATCATGATTCATAATAATAGAGGCACAATATTTATAAAATTGTTTTATACAGGTGAATTAATTCTGACAAAAAAATTAAATAAAATAATTAAAAAATCTTCATACTTCAAAACAAAATAAAGAAACTAAGATGAAATTATCAAAGAACAAGATGTGGGCACTAAAACAAACAAAACTATTATGAGAATTGAGATAGTCACCCACAATATCTTAAAGAAGAAGATAATACTAGAGGAACATGTCTAAGTTGGTTAACTAGTTTAATTAAATGGAATGCATGCTCCCTCCCAAACAGAACCTTTTCTCTGAGTTATTTTCAAATTAACATCAAAACATGTGTTTTAAGATTTTTTCTCTCTCAACCAAATTAATAATTATACTGCATTAATACCGAATTCGGAATAATCATTATAGAAATAAGCATACATTAATTTTATACCTTAAACGGCAAGTTAGCAAATAATGTTAAGCATGCATAACTACATAATGAACAATCTACTTGCAGTAAGAAGAAACATAATCTTCAAATACTAACTTATTCACCATAAATACATTTAGATTTACAATCTGATTGTAATTTTTTATCCAATATGACCAATCAAAGAAATCAATTACACTAAATGATGATTTATCTACAGCTTTTTTTTTTTTCTCAATAAGAAACAAAGTTTTGCATCCATCTCCATGGCTCAATGGAACGCACCATCAAGCATTTAGATAAAATTAGTTATGGATGAGAACTTCAGGAATTTTCTGAATGGAAATATTAGCAGACAATGATTATTAGATAAGAAAGTTTAAAAATTTTTCAGCTAAGATAAAAAATTTGCAGCAAAATTCCATAAACAATAGCAGAAGAATAGGATTAGCCATTGCATATAGAGGAGCAGAGGACAATTAACTAAGCCAACTCAAATGTGCAAGAGAGTTATCAATGTAGTTTTGTAAGAGATAAAATAGGAAGATTTACATACATACCACTAAATCTTACGTATTTACATATCTAACACCTTTACTTTTTACATATATCCCACCGTATCTATGCATGAAAAGGAGTAATTCACCTTTTAAAGTTATTTTTGATGTGATATAAAAGATTTGAGTAGGATAAATGTAAAGAGAGAAGTTTAGGCATTAGATAAGCAAATGCATAGGAATTGGGTGGTATGTATATAAATGACCCTAACCAGAAATAGAAAATTGCAATCAAAGAGTAAGCAAAGCAAGATAAATTAGCTCCTCCTAAAGAGTAATCAACAAAGAGTTAGAACTCAACAACAACAGCTAAAACTAAATACAAAATTATGCGAAAATTCACCTGATTAAGCATCCATTTGAAGCCAACAGCACCAGTACATTCATTTTTAGAAGCACTGCTATACCAATCCAAACTGTAAACTTTATCCAAGGTTGCAATGATAGTTGAGATATTGCTTCGCCTTTCTTTGACAGAAAAAATCTCACCATTCGAGCTAATATTGATGTGGCTATTCAACAAGGTTTCAAGCCAACCACTACCAGACCTTTGCATTGACAATAGAGCAAAATATCGAACCGGCGTACATGCACATTCATTTCTAATAGTTGAAAAGCAAAAATTAATATGAATTGGACTAATTTTAACAAAAAAAAATAAAGGAAGATGTATTAGCATACCACTTAATTCTTATGGATTTGCATATCTAACATGTGAAATTTAATTTTTACATATATGTCACCTTGTTTATGCATAAGAAGTTGTATTTCACTTTTAAAAAGTTTAAATGATGGTATTTCTTACGTGATATGAATGATTTGAGTGATATAAACATAAAAAATAGAAGTTTTGTTGTTAGATGTGTAAATACAAAAGAATTAGGTGCTTTCTAAGTAAATGCCCCAATTATAAAAGGAATAAGATTTACCTGGTATAAGTCGTCGGCTCCGGGTAGTGAATGTATGGAAGTTCAGATGGTGCAATGTTAGGATGCCGCCAAGGTTCATCCTTGACTTCCACTCTCATTACATTGGGGCTGATTATGAAACCCTTTTGCTTGATACATATGGAGCATATATAAACACTGCTAATCATTACCAAACATAAAACAACAGTTCTCAGCACAACTGGATATTTCTTCTGAGGCTTTGTGCCAAAAGCATCCTGTAAAGGAGGTTTAAAACAAAAGAAGCAAATTAGCTTCTAGAGTCTACATTTCTTTGCCATGAATCAAAAATCCTGTAAAATAAAGGGTTTTGTTAAGATTTTCGGTATTTATCAAGAACCTCAGTGAATGGGCACATAGCGAAGTCTTGCCAGGAAAAACTCTCTTGGGCAACGGTTGATAGATCATTTATTAAACATTGGAAACAAACATAATATTGACGAACAGTAAGAAAAAGAACCCAATATTCAAAAGGTACACTGAAGAAAGGAATTTAAGGAAAAAAAAAAAACTCAAGCTACGATTTTTCGAAAGCAACAGAATCGGCCAAACGGAAAAGATGGAAATCTTACAAAAATCATAGATATATCGGGTGTAGCAAACCAAAAAAGCCCACCTATAACAAATTAAAAACCATAAAGAACGCGGATAACCGTTCTCATAATCATCAAAACCTAAAAAGCATAAAGATACCATCTTTCAAGCTGATAGACATTTCAAAACAATGCTTCGTTGAAAAACAAAAAACCCTAAAAGCGAAAACAGTAATAAATCGAAGCACAAAAAACGAACAGAGTTCTTACCTTATTGATTGCGGAGCAGTCCTCAACCATTTTTACCCTCTTACTCAAACTTTCTCCTTGTTTCAGCGAAAGCAAATCAGAGGAAGATTCTTCTCCTCTCTTCTCTTACCTAAGCCAGGTTTTACGCCCTTTTTCCTCTCCAACGATCAAACTCCACAGATGGAATCCGAGCTTCCTATATAAAAAAAGCCAACTTTCCTCTTCATCTTCGTTATATTGCCTCCTTTTAAACGAAAGCTGCCCCCTGCCTTCTTTTTTCCTCTTCTCTCCCACGCTCTCCCCGTTTCTTTCCGCGCGCCTGCAAGCAGCTCTATTTCTGGTTCAAAGGATCAAAGAAAGGGTGAAACAAGATGGTTTCTCCTAAAATATTTTAATTATGTAATGATCTAAGCTTCTTAACCATGTTATAATCACGTTTAGCCATGATATTATTTATTTAATATCCCTGAATGCGACGCAAAAATATTAGCAATTTAGGGTTGTAGGTTTGTAGCAAAATCGAATCTTTTCGTGAACTTGGAGTGGAAACCAACGCAGCTTGTATTAGCTAATGTGATTATGGCTGTGAATGAATTTAATGGACAAAATTTGGCTCCATCAATATTTCAAATTTATAGATAAATAAATTTAAATTTTTTCATAAAACAACAATATAAATCAATCAAATTTGCATATAATTTAATACTTTTATTAATAATCACAAACAAACTCATTTCTTATTTAATAAATAACTTGTTAAATACTATAAGATATATTATTTAAATAAATTTAATTATCTAGAATTTATTTAATTTTATATTTAATAATAATATATTATAGTTTTATATTAATATGAATATAAAGTTAGCAAAATTTTTTTATTTAATAATTTGTTACTATTTATTTATATTACTTGATTGCATGAAAGTTTACTTATTACTTTTATATTATCTTATCTACTTGATATAAAATAGTTATACATTAACATAAATTTTTTTTATTAAAAAAATTTATATTTAAATTTATTAAATTATTTGTTATTAATTATATAAAAAAAATCTAGTACTAATTTTTAACTTTTTTTTCTAACTTTATATGAAAAATTATGTATAATTCAAATTTTTTATTTTTTATAAAAATTAAAAATTTCTTTGAACCTTTAATTTGTTCAATTAATATAAAAAAGTCAAGTACAAATAAAGTATAAATATTAAAAAATTTAAATTTAGTCAACTTTGAACATTTATGAGAAAGCTAAACTCAAGTTCAAACTGAATGCAAATAACTTATGATTCAATCAAGTCAAGTCTATTCCATACCAGCCCTACGTGCGACTCACCAAAAAAATAGAAATTAATTTTAATTTTTCATAGAAGTTTACATTATTCCATTTAGCTGTGCTTATTTTTATCATGTTAGTGTTTTATATTTTTTTTCATTATCCCCTTGAAGAATTTTTTGGCTGAATTATGGTATAAAAATTACTTCTGGATATGTCTTTGATTTTTAAATGTTAATCTAAGGTTATGCAGCCCAGTATAAAATTATTGTTATGAGTACAAAATCTGGATGGGATTATTTTTATTCAAATTGAATGGAATATATTTTATAGATATTAAATATACTTTATGACAGATGTAAATTATGAATATTTAATCAAAATTTAGTGTATGTTTTTTATTATATTTATTAATTATAAAGTTAATTACAATTAAATTTGAATCAGATATCTGACATTTTTTAATATAGAAAATCCACTTACCAGGAATAAGCAATTTGTTCAAAAAAGTCATCCAAAAATGACAGCAACAGTAATAATCTCTCTGTTGTTCCATAAAGGATGTTGAAGGATAAACAAAAGCCTAAATAATATGGGAATGTTAACTGATTATTGTAATTAGCTCTAATTGTTGGTTTCCAAAACTAAAAAGAGAATATAAAAATAGAAAAAAATGATGGGGATATGTTGACCTTAGGCATCTAAAATTGGAAGGCAGCATAAAATGCATTTAGCTCATGATATGAAATATAACTAAGAATAGTTTATACCATAACAATTCTTTATTTTGTCTAATTTTTTCAAGTAATTATTATTAATACACCATCAATAAATTATGTCATTGTTAACCTTATTTCACTCAACCACCTCACACGGAGCACAACCCCCCTACTTTTGGACTGTGTGGTCACGCCTGCTCCCGGCATAGCCATGCCCAAAAGTATCCAGGCATTGTCACGCCCGGTCCAGGCATGGTCACGCCCGACGCTCGCATAGCCATGTTCTGTGTCACGCCAGCGATCCATGGCTTTTGTCCTCGAATCCGGAAACAAATCATCCCGTCGGTTTACCAATGGTGATCCGTGTGCTCTCTAACCGCTGGGATATTTGTGACTGTCTATCCACCACCTCAATCAATGGTCATAGAGGCCTCTGTCGCCGCCTCTAGAGCCTATAAATAGGTGCCTCCTCCACTAGCTTCGACATACAGAGACACACACACACACACACTTTGAAGACTCACTTCAGCCATTAGCACAAAGAAGTGAAAGAAGACGAGCCCACACCTCATCCTCCTCCTACGGCGAACCACCGCTACCTGCCTTCTCCGGTAAGACCTTTAATTTATTTTTATTAAGTCTTTCTTTTAAATTAATTCAGTTTAAGTCTAGGTTAACCCAAATCAATAGCATTGGATTAGGCTTAGGTTTGAGTCTGGGTTAGGCCGACTTGAACCTAACCTAACCATAATGCAAATTGTAGTCAATCCCTGACTAGGTGAGGATTCACGTCATGATTTAGACGAACAACCTCAGATTTGAATCCCATCACATAAGGTAGAGTTACGTGTCCCAAATAAAGTTATTTATGTTTGTTGTTATTGATTTAGTTGAGGTTCATCATTTGCTTCGTGTTTTAAGTAGCTCGAATGGTAGTCCCTCCAAAACAGAGTTAGCAAACCCTAACAGTAAGAGAGAAGCCCACGATCTGACAGTGCTTTGGTGGTGCTCCAACAATGCTCTGACAATCCTTTGACAATCCTCGGACAAGCCTTCTTTGAGCTAGGATGAAGTTATCCCTTAGTGTAGCATAGTGGACACCGTGCTCCCTTGCTCGTCGAGCCTTTCCCCAAGGAAATATTCTCACACACTTAAGAAATGAGGTGGAGGAAGATGAAGAAGATGAGGAAGAAGGAGTTGAAGGAGAAGCAAAAAATGTGGGAGAAAAGCTCCCCTAGCTTTCACCAAGTGCTCTCCAAGGATCTCATAAGCTTCTTCAAATGCTCTTAAAAAGCTCTCCAAGCTCCTTCAATCCACTGATGAAGAATGTGAGGGAGAGGCCGACTGATCGGCTCGATAGATGTCGATGGATCAAGAGAGAGGGAAATATGAGACTCCCTCCATTTAAACTAGCTCAGTCTGGCCAATTAACTAAGATAACTTCATTAGATCCCAAGGAAACTTCTAAAGGAGGGCTAAAAAAGGCATTTCACAACCTCTTTTCCCATCCCCAAGGTTCATCATCATGGATCTGCAATTCTAGTTAACTTGGGAGACCAAACCAGTCCAAAAGTAGCCCTTTTTTGTGATTTGAGAAGGGACTGACACCTAGGAGCTAGTCTAGCACAATGGTGTCGGGCTCCTGGTGCCTAGGAGCTAGGTCTGGCACTCAGGCGCCACCTACTTTCCCGGGTCTAGGGAAATGGTCATTTTTGAGCAATTTTGGGTGCTTAGGTGACCCAAAATGGTGCCAAACTTCCAATAGCTTTGTTTAAATGTCCACAAAGGCATTTTTGGAGCCTAAGCACCTAGCGTCGGCGCATGGGCCCTGATCTAGCCCATAAATCCTAATTTTTAGCGGGTGTGCCCAATGAAGAATTTTCTCGATTGGTAAGCTACAAGAGTCTCTATATGAATTCAGGGCCCGTTTGGGGCAGCTTATAGGGTACGACGGTGTTTTGAAAATGATGCCTTCATGTTTGAATATCACATTCGGGTGTCGTTTTGTTGCTGCTCCGAAAATCAAATCGTGTTTTCCTTATTACCTTTGAAAGTCAGATTGGGGTTGGGTCCAGAGTATGCTTATCGCATTTAGGGGAAGAATTCTTGAGGTGGCCTTCTCTGCTCTTC